GCCTTCCCGGCCTCCCTGCGCGCCTGCCCGTGGCCGGGGGCTTCGGCAGCGGGCGCGTGCGGGTCCTGCCCGCAGAGGCCTGGGCTCGGCCCCCGGGGCGTCGGGCGGTCCGCGCTGCACCCCGCCAAGGCTTGAGGCACGAGGGAGGCAGGACTCGGCTCAGTCTGAGAACAGCTCACTCCGGGCCTCAATTTCTTGCCCTGGAAAGACCTTGAAAATCAATATAGATTCTTGAGCATGCTTTTGGGTTACTTCCAGGTGGAAAATCAGAAAGGTCTGGGCTATGCCAATGTTTTATTTTTATGGCATGTTTTCTCCCATTTCTCTCTCTGAGCCAATCCCACCCCACCAGGCGCCACTGCTGCGCAAGGCTCACTTGGAAAATTCCTGCGGTTTGGATGGTATCAACACAACCAGTCCTTGGAAAGAGCGTCATGACTTCTGCCTGCAAGTAACTTTCTAAGTGGGGACATTCACAAGTGTGGCCCATTGTTGGCATGAATTTCTCTGGTCGTGATCTAATGCAGACCCAACCGGAAATCCTCAAAGTTAATAATCTATGTGGCCACCCTCACAGGCTTGCCTTAATGAGGGCTTACTGGCCAGGCTGCTGGCATTGGTGACAGCCACACACCCTGACCACAGCAGGGTCCCCTTTCTCCAGGCACTGCTGTCCCCCTCGCCCAGAGGAGCGTCAGGAGAGACCTTGTAGCAGGCGGGAGGACGGTGGCATGGGCCCTGGCCATCAGGTGGCAGTTGCTGCGTTACGAGCGGGGCTGCAGGCTGCTGGCCGGGTGAGGGGCGCCTGCCCCCACGCCTCCAGCTCACAGCCAGCGGGCCGCACCTGCCTGGCCAGCGTCCTGCATCCCAGTTCCTGGGGCAGCACCACACTGGGCTGCCTTCCCAGGTCCCTGGAGCCGCACCCAGCCTGTCTTCCTGGGTGGGGCTGGGCTTACCTGGGAATCACAGCAGTCCCCAGCCCCAGTGACGCTCAGAGCAGCAGGCGTGCATTTATTTATTTTTGTTGGTTTTGAACAAGGACAGTGGCAGAGAGAAAGGTGACCTCCATGCCAGGCACACTCCTCCTGGTCACACAGGTGACCTGGGCCCCCCTCAGCCAGCAGGAGGGAAGGAGGGCAGGCAAGGGGCAGGGCACAGAGGGGGGCTGCTGTGCCCTCTCGCCCACTTCCTGGATGAGCAAGCCGAGCAGGGGCTTTGCTCCATTTTACAAACAAAGCTCCAGAAGTCTTGCCCCAGGAAAGGGGAGAAGCAGAATCAGAGCCCAGGGACGTCCGATCACACTTCCCAGGACACCGCGGTGGCTTCTGAAGTGCTCATGCTCGTGTGCAGAAAAGTGAAGACAAATACTTCCACGGCGGCCCCGTGAACGTGGGCAGGGTGCCCAGAGCTCACCGCTTCCCAGGAGGCTCTGACCCGGGGAGCAGGGCAGGCCTCCCATAGGGCTGTGGGCTCCACACCCTTAACCTAGCCCTACGTTCAAGGCTCGAGAATGACGAACCAAAGCAAAACCGTTCTTCACCAGCGGCCAGGGGTCCTGGACAGCTGGGCAGCCATAGACCTTTCTTACTGGGGGACACCCTGCACTTTGGGCCCTTCACCCCGCAGCCTGTGCCCACTGGACACCACAGTGCCCACACTCAGAGACAACCGAACCTGGCTTCATGGATACCCAAAGAGGCCCTGGGCAATGGACCCATCCCTGGTGGGAACCACTGAGTGAAGTATTAACAGCAGAAATAAAAAGAAACCAAAATTCAGAATGGGGTTTTGGAAGGACCGCTTAGAGGTTGTCTGAATTCAAGAAAGCTGTGTCATTTCCACCCTGAGCCTCAGCCAATTTATCTGCAAAATGGGCTCAGAGTCACCTCTTCTCCTCCCGCTCTTGGGGACTATGCTCATGAAACGACTTCTGAACCTTAACCCTGACTGAACCCAACAGATGGCTGCAGGGCCCAACCGACCGGCCTCCTGCCGCCTCCCCGTGGCCCAGTGGGAACATGCACGGCTCGTGTCCCTTTCCTCAGGCACAAAGCGTCCTTCCTTTAAGCACATAGCAGCAATCTAAGAGGTTGAGCAAGACACAGTATAAGCGGGTGATACTAGACCCCTCTCTCCCAACGTATACCTGCATTTTAAGAGCGTATTCCCAGAGACAGACTGCTTCTCCCGAAAGGAGGCTGCTGAACACGGCTGTGCATCCAGAGGGAGGGCCAGGGGACGCGCAGGCCCCGTGGCCACAGCCAGTGCAGAGGCCAGGGCTGGGGGGCCTCTAGTGAGGTCCCGCTCCTGCCACTGTCTCAGCAAAGCAGTTTGCCCCTCTCCTCCCCATCATCTCTACACTGGGGGCAAATAACATGCCACTGACGCTCTGGTGACGGGTGACCAGGTCCTCTACAAATAAAGCAGTGATTAATGACGTTACCCTCCTGGGAACAAACCACTTCATATACAAACTGAAATGGTTTTGCTTCTCTAGGGAAAGGCAGACAGCAAATTGCTGGCAGGCCCTGTAGGTGTTGGCTATGTTTGCACGCTCTGCTTAAACAAATCCCAACTTTTCCCAACTAAGGCACAGGATGGCAGTGACAAATGCCCCTTTGAGGATGCATGATGCCCTCTCTACCTCAGCCTGCGGCCAGGTTCCGCTCCGAGTCAGAGCCCGGAGCCATGGGTCTGGTGAATCCCCTTCTGCTTTTAAGTCATGAAGATGTTCCTTGCCTTGTCTTAGGCTCAAGTTTCCTGAACGGAAAACTAGGGATAGCTATTACTTTGCAAACAAGCGTTGTCTCTTACTGCTACAGGAAACAAGGAGATAATGCACGTAAAAAACTCACTGTGACGTGCAGTCACATCGTGGATTCAGAACCAGGGTCTGCCGCCTTTTGGGTCTCCCATTCCCGGAAGTGAAAATGTTCGGGCAAACCCCCTGATGCGTGAGTATGTGTTTATAAACGATATGCAAGAACGGCCATGCTGACATAGGACTTACATTATAAAACACAGACAACAATAAAAATGCTTAAGGGATGAGTTCAAGATTGAGTGAATGATACTCTAAAATGATTTGGGCTTCCTTATTTATGGTACAGGAAACCTCTGTGCTCACTGAAATACAACTATTGTTCACCACAGTATTTTTGGTAGAGGGCAGTGTGACTGAATGTACTTCACTGTTTTTGAGGCTCCTCTCCTTTCTTTTTTTTTCCGTTAAGGTATCATTGATATACACTCTTACGAAGGTTTCACAAGAAAAACAGTGTGGTTATTACATTCACCCTTATTATTGAGTCCCCCCTGTACCCCATTGCAGTCACTGTCCATCAGTGTAGTGAGAGGCCACAGAGTCCCTGTTTGTCTTCTCTGAGCTACACTGTCTTCCCTGTGACGCCGACACCATGTGCACCAATCATAATGCCTCTCAGTCCCCTTTTCCCTCCCTCCCCGCCCGCCCTCCCCCACCCCTCCCCTTTGGTAACCATTAGTCCCTTCTTGGAGTCTGTGATTCTGCTGCTGTTTTGTTCCTTCACTTTTGCTTCGTTGTTATACCCCACAGATGACTGAAATCATCTGGTACTTGTCCTTCTCCACCTGGCTTATTTCACTGAGCCTAATACCTTGTAGCTCCATCCATGTTGTTGCAAATGGTAGGATTTATTTTCTTCTTATGGCTGAATAATACTCCATTGTGTATATGTACCACATCTTCTTTATCCATTCACTACTGATGGACACTTAGGTTGCTTCCATATCTTGGCTATTGTGAATAGTGCGGCGATAAACATAGGGGTGCATCTGTCTTTTTGAATCTGAGAAGTTGTTTTCTTCAGGTAAATTCCGAGGAATGGGATTCCCAGGTCAAATGGTATTTCTATTTTTTGATTTTTGAGGAACCCCCATACTGCTCTCCACAACGGCTGAACTAGCTTACATCCCCACCGGCAGGGGAGGAGGGCTCCCCTTTCCTGCATCCTCGCCAGCATTTGTGCTCCTAGAGGCTCTTCCCCTTTCTGGTGAGGCACTTGCAGGTCTGATTCTAAGTGGCTTTCTGGGACACATAATTTTAATGACTATCAAACTTGGAAAAAGCACCCTTAAAGAAGTAGAAATCCAAATAGTAATGAATAATTGACTTACTAAATCATGTTACTCATGTTTTAGTCTTACCCACCAATTATGCAAATAATTTTGGTTGAAATTCAGCTGGTAAATTTCCATCTTCCCCAATGTCAATTACTTGTTCTTGCAAATTGATCCTAAGACACTACATACATTACCATGTTTCAGCAAATGTAATTACAACCCACATTGCTGGGAAGATTGTTAAATAGAATAGTAAATGATGCCTCTATTTTTTTAAGTATGCAGACAGGAGCATTTTAATAGATGATGTACACTATTTGGGGCAAGGATAAAAAACATAGCCCATCTGTTTTTAAAGGTTTCTCTTAAAAAGCTGTTACTTTCTTACTCATTATTTTAAAAAATCATCTTAATCTTGAAAGCACAAATTAGCAATGTTTCTTATGATTTTTATAATATGTATTAGGAAGCATCCTGTCTTCCCAACAACAGGTCACAAATTTTAAGCATCTACGTTGTTTGTTTGTAAAACAAAACTGCATAATTCATCTTTAAGTTCAACATTCTTTTAATTATCTTGCTATGATTTAATCAGAATAATTTTGTGCAGTGCAAAAAGTTTCATGGTCTTTCTCTACCTCATTGCAAAGTGCTATAAATACCTCTCTGTATTCTTGTTCCTAAGCCAGCATAGCCCTGTGGGTGGTGCAGGGGCTCCTGGCGGGCTCTGGCGGCCAGCACAGCTGCCAAGCTCACCCACGCCCTCATGCAGGGGCAGAAAGGGGCTCCGGGTTGTGGGGCAGTTACCTCACCAGATTCATTCCTTTTCTACTTCAGCCAATGAGACTGGTAGCAGTTTTTCTATTAAAATGTTTTTATTTCAATAAAAAGCCACTTGCTATTAAGAATGTATGTTCTTTATTTAGATACACAGGAGAAAATAGATCTTTTCAAAACTTAATTATCAAGACAGAATACAGCAAACACATACTAGACACACACACAGCTTGATTAGAAACAAGATATTTGCAAAGGCTCAAGGTGTCCCCCAAAGGTCCATATTAATAGGAAAAGGAGCAGTAATTTTGCAGGAGAAACTGGCAGACAGAACCTTAGCCAGGAGGTCGAGGCCAGCATCCATCAGTGGGTCAAGCTGATCTCAGGTACTCCTGAGGTGAGGGGCCCCCGGCACTCCCTCGGTGGCCTCCCTGCAAAGGCCCATGACCTCGACCTGCTCCCGAGGGAAGAGCAGACAAACCCTAAGGAGAGACCTCCTACCATATATGTGGCCAGAACTCTCCGGAAGTACCAAGGTCATGGAGCCAAGGCAAGGCTGAGGAGCAGTCCCAGAGCAGAGGGGACCCCGACTAAACGCAGTGTGGGCTCCTGCTGGGCTCCGCTGGGAGGAAGCCGGTGGTGGGAAAACCGAGAAGTCCTGGCCAGGCCTGCGGATCGGTCAGTAGCGTGGGTCAGTGTTGGTTTCCTGGTTTCAGTCATCATACTGTGGTTGCGTGAGTGTTAACACTGGAGGGATCAAGGTGGAGGGCATGTGGGAACCTCTGTACTTATTTTGCAACTTTTCCGTAAATCTGAAATTATTTTAAAATGAAAAGTTAGAAAAGGAGCACCTACACTTTTGCCCAACTGCGCAGCCGGTCCCGCGCGGGGTGCCGTGTTCTGACCCACTTCCTTCCGCCCTGTGAGTGCCGAGTGCATTCCATCAGCATTTCATAACAAAGGCATGCATTTTAGTTTGGCACCAACCCTACTATTTTCTGTGTCTCAGTACTGAAATCACACTTGGAAGTGCTTCCTCTATAGGATTTGACTTAAATTGATGCCAAATTTGAAAGCTCCAAAGAAGCTTCTGGAAATGTATCAAACATTGAGTGAAATTTTATAATGTACTGCATTTAGGATCTTAGAAGTGGAAAAACTTTGTCTTAATTTTCAAACGTTTAATCCTTAAGTGCCTTGTTCATCTTGATGACCTCATACTGCTATCAGCTGATATTCCAAAACATGACGTAGCCTTAGGTGAGGGTCATCTTTGGCAGTCATGATTCAAACGGTTTATCACTTTGAATCTCGTGACCGTGTCACTCCCTAGGCGGCTGTCACCGTTTCAGCCCGCGGCGTCGCCACCAGAAGCCCCTTTGCTGGCCGGTCGGCCTGGATGGCTGCAGCCAAGTACTCTCCAAGCTGCAGTCCCACAGGAGCCTCGTTAAGTCGTTGTTCCACTTTGCAACGATCAGTTTTCTTGGGACCCAGATCATTTGTAAATCCAATAAAACAGACACAACAAGACTATTTAAAAGATTTTGAACAAAAGCCACCGAGGAGCCGCTGTCATCCCTCTGGCCGGCCCTTGCAGCCAGGATACCACACATTCCCGTGTCGGGGCCATCGCGGGACAGATGGTGAGGGCCCAGGGCCACTGCTAGCGTTAAATGCTGGTAAAGATAGTTTCTTTATTGTTTAGGTGAAAATGAGTGTCAGAGGAACTCAGGGTTTTCTTCCAGCTCTCCGACGTTGATTGTGCAGTGAAGCAGCCCCAGCCACACGTGGCTATTTAAATAAAGGGATAAATTAATTGAAAGCAAATGGAATTACAGTTAGAATTTTTACGAGCCACCTGTCAGGCACTCACTAGGTAGGGCCCACCGTACTGTACACGGGACTTTTCCTTCAACGTGGCGAATTCTGCTGGGCAGCTGTGCTCGTGGGCTACCCCGTGGCCACTCTCTGTGCTCGTGGCCTTAGAGTAGCACTGAAGACCCTTGGGGCATGAGCCCTGGCGACGCCTGAAGGAGCCCCAAGCCGTCCGCGCACAGATGGGGCCTGCGCCCAAGACTGGGGGCCCCCATGCCCTTGCCTGCCTGCCCCCCCGCTTCCTCTGGAGTGTTCTCTTCGCTACTTGGCTGTCTTCCTAGCAGCTCAAGAAGCCAGGGAGACCCTGCGAGGCCCCCCGAGCTCTGCTGGGCAGTGTGGGAGCCCAGCCTGGGGCCTGCGCCCCCTGCTTCACCAGCTGGGGATCCGTGTGCCACTCAGCAGCCTCTGAAAAGTCCAGTTCCCATAAATCCAGGCAAGGTAAGAGCTCAAGCTGCCAAAAACGAGCAAGTATTATTATTTGTCCTGTCGTTCATTGTGGGGCGGCTTATCAAGATGCCACAGAAAGAGCATTCTGGGTGAAACAAAAGGCAGACAGTATGTCCCTGGCACAGGCTGAAGGTGGAGCCCAGGGTGTGGCTGGGGGGCATCCTGGCAGAGGGAAGGAGGGCTGCAAGCAGAGAACCAGGCGGGGACGGACAGGGTGAAGCGCCAGCAGAGGGACCGTCTGATTCACAGACGAGGCGAGGGCCGGCCCCACACAGAGTCTCGGGCGACCGAAGGCGCACCTGCGTTTCCAGCCTGGCATCGTCTGGGCGAGGCGACAGGCAAACGAGACCAGCGGGGGGAAGGAAGCAGTGGGGCATCAGCCGGCAGCCAGCCCCGCGCCCGGGGAAGGAGAGAAGCCTTCTGCGAGGGATGCCTCGCTCTCTGGACGCGCTGGAGAGGGTCCTCGGGACGCACGGTCACTGCAAGTCCAGCTGTAAAGGGAGGAAACGGGGACTAATCAGGGGAGAAACTCCCTCCTGCCCATCTCACAAGGCAGGTGGCGGAGAAGATGCGGGAACCTGCTCGTTCCCGCCTGCCTGTGGGTCTGAGCCTGGAGGGAGACGTCCTGTAACGACCTCCACGGAGAAGCGCCGCAGCCCCCAGGGGGTGAGGCTGCCTCCTCCGTGTGGTCGTGACACTAACCCTCAGAATAAGCAGTGTTAGATTACGTCAGGCCAGGGTCCTATCCATTCCTCCCATTTTCAGGTTAAAACACCGAGTCACCGGCCAGGAAGCCAGCAGGGAAGCGGCGGGGCCTGGCCGCGCGAGGTGCTCCGGGCCACCACGCTGGACTTCCTGGAGGAAGGGTGGGAGGGTGACTGCGTGGACACGGCCTCCTGGGGGGGCTGACCTCACAGCCTGCCCAGGTCGTGATCGGCATCTGCTGGAAGATTGAAGCCTGCGCCGACTTTCGTGACAAAGACCCCGCGAAATGCTCTCCCAGGAGGAGAGCGGCGAGGCTCACAGCCTGCCCTGCGGAGGCCCAGCGAACTCTCCCGGGGGCGCGCTGGTCCCCGGGCACGTCTGCAAGGGGCGGTGTGCAAGGGGAGGGGGGCGGGCCGGGCCGCCGGGGGTCACGCATGCCTTCGAGGTCCCCGAGTCTCTGTGCAGTTCTCTGGTGGCAACACTTTTTTACTCATCAAATAAAACTTGGCAACATTCAAATTGTTTGAAAAACCAAAGTTTTTCAGCAATGACTTGTGTTAGAAAGGCACTGTTGCTAAGGAACTAAACTTTCTTAATCTGATGAAAATTTCAAACCATAAATTATCCAAGGGCCAAAGATTCCAAGATGTCTTTTGCATTAAACAGCAGGGTGATGGCCTTAAGCAGACATCTGTTTTAAGTACATTTAAAAACTGATGAAGAGAGTTTCCTTAAGAACTTGAAAAGATACTTTATCACACACAATCACGCCAGTCTTCAAATAAAGTGAGAAACCTAGATTACCAACACTGGCTTCTGTAACAGAAGGAGACATGAAATTAATCGAATTAAGCAAGTATACATAACAAAGAAATCACATTTGATATTAGGCTTGCAAAATATGGCAATGCATTCCTTGGTGAGCCAGCAAAAGAACAGAACTGGGCCTTAACGCTGCTTAGAATTTTCTTAAGTAGAAGTGGGATTTTAAAGCCTCTGGGTCAGTGAAACCATAGAGTGGGTATTTATGAGGTTTTCAAGGAGTGCGTGGTTCCGTTGAACCAATCAGCGAAGTGGAGAAAGGCCCGGCCCGGCCTCTTAGGTCTGGGAGGCAGGAAAAATGGAGGTTTCAATGGCCGCTGGAGGGAGAGCTGCCAATACATGATTTTCTCAAAATGCCTCCTCCCCCAGCACTGCCAGGAACGTCCATCTTTACAAAGCCGCTCGGAAATTCTTGGCATTGGAAAACACTCAGAAAGCCAGCAAGGCTCCTGTCACTGAACAGAGAACATTAGCAAGACGAGCCTGTTCATGACGCAGGTGGAATGGATGGCGCGTTAGGAGGTGGGCCGCTGCGGGTGGCGCTCACTTGCACACCAGCGGCGTTTGCGCTCCGAGAAGCATGAAGCAAATCCACGTTCTCCAAACTGGCTTCATTGTTCAGCCCATCAGCACACGATGTTTGAGCACGACCCCTCATCTGTGCAAGTTCATCAGTTGCATACATGAAATATACTGATGCAGGTGTTATAAAACAGAAAAATAGCAATATAAAAAGATGACATAAAATATAAATAAGTATTCTAGTATTTTCTTTCTGCATCCCAGTGTATAATTTGAGGCAGCTTCTGTGGGCCATACTGTACTTTGGAGTCTACTGAAATACTAAATGAATTAATAAAAATATATACACCTGTATTTCAACTCAGAATGTAAGAAATACAAGCTGAAAAATAGAATGGATGAATAACAGGAGAAACGAGGGAAACAAGAGCTCAAGAGGGAAAGAATATGTTCTAGATATTTGGGTTTTTGTTTTCTCTTGGTTCGTATTGTTTTATCACTCACATTTCTAGAGACCATGGCACTTTGAGTTCGAATTTTTTTTAATGTTAAATTTTAACTCCATTGTCGTAAGAAGAGAGAGCAAGGAACAAATTAAAATCCTATGGAATGTCAAGAAAGGGAGCCAAGGGCTTTGAGGGCCCCAGCGTTTTAACGCGTTGGTTATCTCGGATAGCCCTGGGATGCCAGGCCAAGCTGAGAGTCTGGGGGCATTAAAATCTGGGCAAAGAAGCCTTGTCCGTCACACAGCGCAGCCGGGGACCGCAGATAGGGAGACCAGGCCACGGGCGCTGCACAGCCTCGGCCTCAGGGCCCGCCCCAGCCCCACGCCCCGCCCCTGCCCCAGCGCCACGCCACGCCCCAGCACCATGCCCCGCCCCTGCCCCAGCGCCAC